ATAAAGGAAAAATATAGACAAGAAATATTCAATAAAAAAAAAAATACTCAAAATAAGGAAGCGATTAAATAAAATTAGCTTATCTAAGAAATTAAATTGAATATTTCGTCTTATAAAAATATAAATAATTAATCAATTACAAAATTAGTAATCAAATTAAATAATTTTAACATAATTATCTTAACAAAATATTATGAATACTTGAAGTCTCAATTATTCAAATTCAATTAAGGTAGTTATAATTAATTCTTCTGCCAATATCACTAAAGGGATTTAGATATTCCGTTGAATATTGAATATTCAGACGATAGTCTGAAATTTGAACAAACAGTGATGACATATATCAGCATAAATATATGAGCAAATATGATAATGATGAAAGACGATGTCATTGTGAAATATCTTTTTATCGTTTATATAGCGCTCTTTTCGTTTCCAAGATATTCCTCCAAAGATAGACATCTACATAAAGAATGTCTTGAATATTTTTTTTTATTATCGAATTTTATGATGATAACGTACGAAAATAATTCATATATTGTGGAAACTCTTGTCGATTCTGTCCATAAAAATCCTATCGCAGTTCAGCCTGCATAACAAATTAATTAATATAATTAGTAAAAAAACCAATCGAATATTATACTATCATTTATTCTACTTAATCGATTTATAAGATATATTAAAAATCGAGTAAAATAATGAATATCCCAAATTTTAGCATGCACTGAGATCTACACAGAAATGTGTAAAGCTGCATATTGCGAAAGCTGAACAATTATATTCTAAATTGTAAAAATTGCGGAAAGGAGTAATAGTCGATTATCCCAAACGAGCAACTATCAATCGTAATGTTTCAATGAAAATTAGAAGAAAAAAAAGGAAATATCGATGCTTTTTATTAGAAATACAAAATATCAATACGTGCCAATGTACCGAAATTCGTAATGTCACTTGATATTCATGATGATATTTCGATAGATAATTAAAAAGTTTGTTAATAATTAATATTAATAATAAGTTTAATAATTCTATACCATCACGATATATCATTTTTTCAATCGCCCGAAATATTTTTCATTTTTGAATTCAAACTTCTTGAAACTTCGCGTTTAACGGGATTTTGTGTGACGTGACGTCCGATTTATAACTTCTGCGGGAAAGATACCATAAAGCGCGCCGAACTGGTCCTCCGGGCGAAGATTCGTAGGATCGGATTATGAAAGGTGTACAAGCACGAAGATTCGCGTGACTTAAGGCACTAACAGTAATACTTAAGGCCTAACGCAGCGTCCCCTTCCTTAACATTAGAAGGCACTATCCTCTATCAGAAATACAACACGTAACAAATGTTAATTTATCGACCCTCGCATTAATCTTACACGCAGAGGTTTTCTCTTTAATGATATAAACTGGCTCTAGCATATACTGGCATCTTGTTCCGTCGTCTCAACTGGCTTCGTGATAGGTGTCCCAACTAACTTTAGTCGCGCTTATACAGCGGCGAAAAAACGCGGTTTAAAGAAACAGGCTAATGCTACATCTGCCACCTACGCAGCGTATGTCGCGTTCCACAAACTTCCTAGAGATTATATACATGGTGTATTATCAAGCGAGCACCTTGAGATTTTCGTGCCTGAATTAAGAATCTGATCATTTAACATGGAACAAGCGATTTCGACGTCTATAATTTTCAATGAGTAATCTATTTCTTTTTCTAATTAATTAACTTATTTTTATGTCTAAGCGTTTTTGTATACTTTATTAATTGTAGCTGGAAACTATGTAAATTAATTTTGCATAGAAAAACTAATTCAATAATATATGTAATTGTATTATTTTTAAAATAAAAAAATATTATTTACACTTTCAAATTAGTACTTTCGAAATCGCCAATTCGATGTGTCCAAGGCATCCTAATTCAATTATTATTCGTAACAAGTCATAAAGAATGGTATAAATATATGTATATGAAAAGTGAATTATTCTTTTGATAATGCAGGGTATTTGAGCATATTTCGGCGCCCTGCGAACAGTTATTGAGCCGTTGAATTTTTAGGATGCCTTCGTAAAATACGAAATAACATTGACATTATTTCGCGAATGTGATCAAGATCGAGAATCTCATAGTGCGATAAAAAAGAATAATTTACTCGATTATGCCTCTTCCGTTTCGTAAAGCACGTGGTATTAACAATATCTCGTAATTGCACCTTTTACTTTGGCACCTTTACGCACAGAATCCAAATTTAATCTTCGATTTGCGATCGAAGAAAGTTGCTTTTTTGCGCCTAAAAAAGAGATTTTGCAAAGCATCGTACGTATAAAGCCATCGGTGACATATTGCTTGTTACGCGTATGTAATACTGGCTTTTGGTATATGCCGACATTTATATACCCCGCTTCATTACTACGTAATAAAACGTTAATGATTGTCCGTCTCTAAACGCGAAATTCTTTGTGCATAATCGAAAAATTGCTCTATTAATGCTTTACGTAATGTCTACGATCACGATTGTAGTTTATTTAACTGAGCATGCTAAGTCCCAAGCTCCGTCATCGGAGTTCGATATATTCTTTAACTTACATGCTAACCATTCATTTATCTTAATTAATTACTGGCTCTCTTCTTCGCGATACATACGATATATGTGCTCTAGACTAGTTGAGCTGGCCTTAATTAACTGTATATATTATATAAA